CATGCAATGGCTCTGAGACCCCGGTGCAAGTGGGGACCACATCTGCCTCCGGAACACATGATTGAATGAGGAAATTTTGTTACAAATAATTTACAAAACTGAAAGGTGCAATGGAAAGATACATGATTTATAAAAGTTGGATTCTTTCATGCTATCAGTGGCTCCCAAACATCAGCAAATAGAAGAATCACTTGCAGGACTTGTTAAAAACACATTGTGGGGCCCTGCCCTCATTTTCTCATTCCTTAGGTTGGGTATGGGACCTACGAATTTGCATTTCTCACAAGTTCCCCATGCTGCTGCTACTGGCCTGGGACTGTACTCCACGGTGTGTTATAGTTTAGATCTGGGGTGCCCTCCCCAAACCTCTTGCAGTCAGAGGCGGGATGTTTGAAAGGTTACTGAAATATGGAGGTGGTATAGCCAACTTGCTGTTAGGAGATGGCGCCTGGTCAGCAGAGGTGGTCCCTGGGGGTGTGACCTGGAAAGGATGCATCTCCCTCCCCAGCTCCTCCCTTCTCTCGTTGCTTCCTGGCAGCCAGGAGGTGAGCAGCTCTCCTCCAGGCCAGGCCCTTCTACCATGCTGCCAACTATCCAAGGATTGAACTTCCTAAAATGTGAGCCAAAATAAACCATTCCTCCTTCAAGGTGCAGGTGCTGAGTATTGATCGCAATGAGGAAAGTGACTGATACACTGTAATGGGTCTCAGCCATGACATTAGGTCAATGACCCAAATCTGCTTAGGAGGTGAGAACTGAATGGATATCATAGGTGTCTGCTCAAGCCACGGCCCAAGTCAAGGTGTAAATGGCTGTGCAGTCTTCAGGAAGTCTTGTTTTATTTCTCTTTAACTTTTTCATTTAAGATAATTTTAGACTTATAGTCAAGTTGTAAAAATAGTACAAAGAGTTCCCATATATCCTCTACCCAACTTCCCCTTATGTTAACCTCTTATATAACCACCAAAAAAATCATCAAAACAAGGAATTTAACCTTGGACAAATAGTACTGACTAGACTACACTCTTTTTCTTCCTTATTCTCTTTTTGTGTTCCAGGACCCAATCTGAATTGCATTTTCTTGTCATTCCTCCTCTGTGTCCTCTAGTCTGTAACAATTCATCAGTTTTATTTTTCATGATCTTAAGACTTGAAGAGTATTAGTTATTTTGTAGGATGTCCTTCAATTTGGATTTGTCTGATGTTTTGTCATGATTAGATCAAAGTGATATGTCACTGTGAAAGATCCCACAGACATGCTGGGCCCTTCTCAGTGTACTGTATCAGATAGCACATGACATTGGTATGTTTTCCTGTGATGTTAACTTGGGTCACTTGATTAACATGGTATGTGTAAAGTTTTTATTTTTCTCTAGCTACCATATATTTTCGTGGCAATCTTTTGAGACCACAAACATCCTGTTTGCTTAAAAATTTTATAAATTTTTGCTTAAACATTTTATATCACTAATTTTAGCATTTATCATCGCTTCTTGGCCTTTTGGCTAAGATCAAGTGTAATTTTAGCATTTATCAATGGATCTTGCCTGTGGCAATTATTTCTTTGCTTTCACACACACACACACACACACACACACACACACATCACCACCACCACCAACACCACATACACCCACAGATATCATATTCAAATGGCAGGAAAGCAAAAACAAAGAGAAAATCTTGGAGACAGCTAGAGAAAAAAGAAATATTACATTCACAGGAACCAGATAAGATATAGCAAGGGTCTCATCAGCAACCATACAAATTAGAAGACAGTAGTATGACAACAATATTCATCTTAAAGTGGAAAAATTTTCCAAACCTTTTAACACAGAATTCTGTATCCACCAACAGTGCATTTTGAAAAATGGAGGAGAAATAAGGACTTTTTTCCAGACAAACAAAAACTGAGGGAATTCACTGCAACAAACCTGCCCTACATGAAATGTTAAAGTCCCTTAACATTTTAAAATAATAGGACAGAAGGAAAATAATCTTCCATACAGAGGAATTTTCATTAATAAACACAGAAGGAAGTTAAGGAAATAATTACCACTAGGACACCAAAATAAATAACTTCAAACATTATTCCCAAACTACTGACAACCTGAATGCCAGTTAACTCGTACATAAATTAAGATCATTTTCTATCCCTCTTATTTCAGAAAAGATTTGGGTAGTATGCCTCTTTCATGATGTTGCTACGAAGGTCAAAATAGTACAATTATGAATGACTAAGCCTTAAAATAAAAAATGCTAGCAAGATAGATGTTACAGCTTGCCCAAAACATTTTCGTATGTCAAAGGTTTCAGTTGAATTAGCTGATATTGAAAGGAAAGGACTGTGGAAGCATAGAAAGACTCCGGGGTTGTTCATTTTGGCAGGAAACTATCACAAAGAGTGATGCTGTTTAATCATCGAGAAGAACCATTATGGAAAGATGGTCTGACGAGAGCTGGGCGCCAGCTGCAAGCACAAAGAAAAATCTTTCCCAGTTGGATATAATGTCATCCACTCCCGCCCCAACCTCAGCGTGTGACCCCACCTCCTCTGAGTCCCTGCAGCCCTCCCCAAGCATCGCTTCATCTGATCCTCTCAACAGCCTTTCGAAGCAGCTAATGTTAATGTTCTTACAACAGAGACGCAAAGGTTCTAGGCCTCTCTCAGTGAGGCCAATGGGCTGTCCTGACCTCCTCCACATTCTCGTTCAGGCCAAATATTCTGATGCCAAGAACTCAGAAACTGTGCAGTGCTATTTCCTGAATGCTATTGCCTCAGATGTGGATTTGGGTAGTTCTTGAGTTGATTTTAGGAAACCTCACCTAAGAAAGTTACTTCAGTTCTCTTTTGGTCCTTTTGGCTACATCCTAGACAAACTCTGTTTGGCGCTAGTGACTTTGCCAGCTCCCCTATACTTCCTAATCTCTTTAACAGAGAGCAAAGGCCTCAGGCTTAGAGGCATTACAAGGATATAAGATCTGGCTATAATTTGATAATATAGTTTGATTTTCATTTTGCTGATCTTTTTTTTTTGGTACCAGGGATCGAACTTGGGTCCTTGCACTTGCGTAGTAGGTGGCAACATCACTAAGCTAAATCCCCGGTCCTGCTGATCTTTATAATTACTGTATTTCCTATTTACAACAACTCTAACATGTAGTATAACAAAGGCTCTTTTAAAACAAAACTAAAAACTAAGTTGATAAAAATGTTAAGACACAGTAGTATGGACGCAGGGCACAGCTTGGGAAAGTGGTATGGATGATGATGGTTACAGGAGAACCATGAAAGGCCAGTTCACACAATGTACCATGGAGAACTACATTGCTCAGCTGTGAGCCACCGATGCTGCCTAAAAGCTTTGTAGTATCCTTGTTGACCTATTCTTGTCTAAGAGTGACTGTAGAGAGACCCACTAAATAAAGATTCTTAGTTGTTTTTTGTGTTTTTTTTTGTACTGGGGATCGAACTCGGGTCCTTGCACTTGCGCAGCAGATGGCGAAACCACTGAGCTAAATCCCCGGCCCAGGATTCTTAGTTTTCAAAGTTTTTTCATATATTATTCCCATTCACCCAAACATTCATCTATCCATCCTTCATCCATCCATCCATCCATCCATCTTTTCTTCCACTCCTCCCTCTCTCCCTTTCTCCTTCCATCTATTCATCATCATCATCATCATCAAAAAACAAAACAAAACAGCAACAAACACCCCCACCCAACCCACACCTTTCTCCTTACACTGATTCTCAGATATTCCCAGCGGGGAGTCCCCAACCAGAGAACAAACTCATTCTCTGAGACCTTGAGGGGATTCTCTGGAAGCTCAAGCTCAATTTTCCAAAACTTTAGCTTAAAAGTTCATGCCAGTTTTGGACCCCACTTATAGGAAGCCATGTCTTTTGCTGTAACATCTCTCTGCAAGAATCTTCCATAAAGCTGACCCTCTCAGATGACCCTTGCTTATACTAATGGCTTCCTAGCAACACTGCCATGGTCTCCGGGGACCCCCACTGGAGATGCAAGGACCTGCTTTGTGCCAGTTCCTGTACCAGGGATACAGAGATCAAGAAACACCCCGAGGGAGGACAAACTGGTCTCAGCACAAAGCCTAGGAGTAGCTTGGTTTGTGGTCAGAGAACAAGCGCTCTGCAGCAGCTCCAGGTGCCTTCCCTTTAAGAGGGATGGAGGCAATAGTTTAAAATCTCTGACTTTGGAGTTACACAGCCCTAAATTCAAAGTCCACCTATGGTGAGTTATAGGATTTTGGGTACTGGGAATTTCTGGGATTGTAAAGAAAACACCTGGATTTGGAAACTGGAAGAAAAAGCAGCTCAGCCTGCAGAGGGCCTGGAGAGGAAGGGCGGGAGGGCACAAAGGCTGTGTGGCATAGGGACCAAGAGCCCTGACCTCACCCTCTGATGGCCTGGGTTCTTCCCCAGCTGCATACCACCCAGCCCCTGCCACTGATGAGGAACAATCTCTTGTGTGCATTTCCTGTGTCACAAACAAGGAGCGTGAGTGAGGTGCTTCCTAAGGGTCCTCCCAGCTCACATGCTCTCTGCTCCACCTTGCCCTTTCACTAGGATTTGGCTTTCAGTGTTATCTTCTTTATGGGTCTTTCTCTCCTTGTTGCTTCTTAAAATGCTGTGTCTACCCCTCTCATGTTATAAAACCAATAGCTATCTGCCGTCACTGCTCAAATGTTCTCTCTTTCATTTATGAAGATCAACAGCCTCTGTTCCTAGTATGGACGCCTGAGCGGCTTGGGAAGATGCTATCTATCACTGGGCTCATTATAGTTCCAGAAAGCAGCAGCACAATGGATTAGAAAAGCCAAATTTCATTACGTGACCCACAATGGTTCTCCAGCCAAGACTCCATCATGATGCTCATATCCCTAAGGTCAGTTTCTCTTTTTTTTCCTGAGTGCAATAAATGCCAGCTTAATTAGGTGCTTCTCCTCCAATCTCCACAATGAGTACCCATCAAATCTTAATTAATAAAGTGAGAATTTATTAAATTTTTAGTTCTAATAAATAGTCATTTTCTCAGCAATGGGGCCCAAGCCTTGGTAAAAATGAAATGGTCTATGTGACCATTCAAGGAGAAAATGTTACACTATGTTCTTTAGTTACAAAAGTGAGTCTCTCCTCCTACCCAGCCCTATCACCATCTTGTTGTAGTTCAGAGGCCTGAAGCTGAATTCAGTTTTGTTTTGTTTTTTATCACACTGAGGTCCCAGGATACCCTAGCTGAACATTCTTGTCTTCAAAATTAACAGAAAAGGAAAACAAAAATCTCAACTGAGAAGTGTGTATTAAGAGTAGAATATTCTCCCTATCCATGGAAACACTGACAAATCTGCTCAGAAGGAAGTTCAGCCAGAAGAAGGGCCAGACACATTCTGGAACACTCTTTCCTTTTTCTTGAAGGGGCTGGGTGAGGTGGTGAATTCAGCCATTCAGAGTCCCAGGAAGAATTAGTGTTTTCAACCACAAATGAAGAATATATACCAGGGGGAAATCAAGGCTTCGGTAAAACTCATCTTCTATAAAGCTTTGGAGGAAGATGAGTGAAGCAATAAGGCAGTGTCTTATGCTGTGTTTGTGATTCATTTTGAAAAGACTCAATTTAGACTCAACGGGTAAAGATGAGATGGGCAGAGAGGCTTCCCATCTGCCCAGCCCTGGAAGGTGGCTATTGATTGAGGCCTAAACTTGAAAAGCTGGGCATGAGGAACTAATGGGATCAGCTCCCTGGATGAGCCCAGCAAGCTCAGGGCAGAGTGAATGATGGTCCCTCATCCTCACTCATCCCTAGGCTCCTCGCCCAGCAGCCGCTGCTTGCTTCTACCTGTCCCCACTGGTCTCTGCCAGCCTGTTGTTCATTATTGCAAAGGCCCCGACGCCCCCTGAGAATTCGTCATCTCGGGACAGGGTGCTGGTCTGGTGGGGGCCGCCGTTGGCCATCTCAGACAGCTGCTTCTGGAGGATGGCCAGTGCCACCTTGTTGGAGTCCTTCATGGAGATCATCTCCCCTGAGAGGCGGCGCCCCTCCGTGTCACTCTCCATCACCCCGTCTGTTTCTATGGAGATGTTGCAGCGGTTCCTGACATGGCCCGGCATCACTGCGTTCCTCCGGGACTGCAAGAGTCTTCTTTGGCATTGGCAGAAGCACCCACCACCCATTTTCCTCAGGATCCAGTTCACTGACTGTTTGATCAGGATGGAGATGACATTGAACAAGGAGTACAGGCAGCAGACACCCATGAGGATGAAGACAAAGTTGGCAAAGCGGTAGAGACCCTGGCTGTCATACTGAGCATTCTGGCTGCTGACCAGGTCCCCAAAGCCGATGGTGCTGAAAGCCACAAAGCAGAAGTAGAGGGAATCGAAGTAGCTCCAGCCTTCCATGGGGGCGTACAGGGCTGATGCCCCGCAGGAGATGAGCACCGAGGCTGAGCACAGGATCAGCATTACATAGTACACCGAGGGCTTCCAGCCAGCCAGGCTGTCTGGCTCCCCCTTTCCTGGGGCTTTCAGGCTGTCCTGGGCCAGCACCCCACGTCTCCGCAGCTGGCGCTGGTGGCACGACCTCATGATGTAGGCGATGACGGTGATCAGGCGCTCCAGGAAGAGGTTAAAGAACAGGATGGTGCTCGCACACCCAACAAGGCCGTAAAAAATCAGGAAGATTTTTCCTCCTACCGTTGCTGGAGTTGTCATCCCAAACCCTGAAGGAGACAAAAATCAGAGAGAAGAGTGAGATAGGTCTTGGCCATGAACGGAGCTAGAGTCTGGGCTCTGGTGGCTGAAAGAGGACCTAAAGAAAGGTTCTTAACATCACTCAGACCTGGCCTTGCAAGGAAGGAGCAGGAGAATTCCTTTGGGAGACACTAAGCATTGCTGAGAGCATGGAGCAGGACCTGCTGCAAGCCCACGTGGTTCTACTGTGAGAACCAGAAAAAGGTCCCTTGTCCTCTGGGTTTGGTGATGACCATGTGGACAGCATTACAGCCTCCTCTGCCCCTTTTGCTGGATATCCTTGTACAGTTTGCAACCTGAACAATGCTCGACAGATCTTGTTCAGAGATATGGGCAGGCTCATTCGAAGAAGAGGTGTATACAGATGCTTTAGAATTCATTTATTCTACACTCATAGAACCGAGGAAGAGACAGATCTGGTCCCTGCCCTCATGGAGCTCTAGTCAGTGAGATGATCAAAGTGTTATGCTATGGGATCTAAGAGGGGAAAACATCTCGGACTTGGGGTTCTGGGAGGATTGTGCAGGGAGAGCTAAAAAGCTAAGAAGAGCTAGGCAGGAAAGGAGAAGGGTTTATGTGAGTGGTGACGGTGAGGGGGGATATTCCAGACAGAGAAACAGCAGACACTACACATGTAGAAAGGAGAAATTTAATCAGTAGTTTTTCATCTATTAAACAAAATTCTTCAAACACATACCGCATGCTCTTGGAGCGATAACAGAGATACTGGATGCTATGGTTTAACAAAAATACAAAGCATCTGTCTCTTTTGCCTCGGCCTTTAACTCTCCACTGTTTTCACCTTTATCTGCCTGTGTATCCAGGCACACTGCTAAGAATATATACTGTAGGACAACAGGTGTCATTGAGAAAAACAGATGTAGAAAGAGGAACAATGTACACAGTATTTCTCACAGAGGGGCAGTGAGGAACCCTCCTTAGAGGGATGTGGACTCCTTCCAACAAATGATGCAGTTAGATAGGAGCAGGTTGACTTGCTGAGGGGACTGGCATCAGAGTCACTGAATCCAAACACCAATAAAGAGAAAAATGAGTACTGGGTGACTGGGTGTGCCTTTCTGGGTTCAATTTCTTATTCAAATCAAACATCCTTCTTTCCATTTTTTTTTTTCATTTTCAAGTTATTTCCTTGGGGTTCCAAGGACTCCCTCATTATCCTTTTATTTTTTATGTTGAGATAGTCTCACTAAATTGCTGTTATGCCTTGTGTCTGGATGTCCCCCAAAAGCCTCATGCAATCATACATGGGGCTTTTTCAGAGGTGGCTGGATCTAGAGTGTGTGATGCTGGGATCGATTCCTGGTGCAATGCTAGGATCAAGGGCACTAGGATTAAGGGTGGGAGTGCTACCTGCCCTAAGTAGCCTGGATAAGGTAAAAGGGACAGAAGGAGCTGTGGTCGTTCCTTATTCCTTAGTTACCTTCTGACCCCCATGAACTGTTTCTCCTCTGTGATGCCACCCTGCCTTGGAGCCAGCTGACTACGGACTGAAACCTCTACACACTGTGAGCTACATAAACCTTTCCTCCTTTTAACTTCGGGTGTCAAGTATTTTGTCTCAGCACCTAGAAAAGTGACTAAGACAGGTGCCTGGGCTGGCCTTAAATCCATGATCCACCTGCCTCAACCTCCCATTGTGCTGGGACTACAGGTGTGCGCCGTCACTCCCAGATTCCATTGTTTCCTCATTTCCCGACAGTCCCCACTTTGTTCCCAAATCACTCCTTTTCCTTGTTGCTACAGCTTAGCCAGTGACTGCTGCCACTGTCCCCTGGGAAGTGGCAGATCAGATTCTGAAGTGTATGGGCTTCTGGGAGTAATGACCTCTTGGTCTGCTGAAGCAAAGGGACCACTTCCCCCGAACACCCAGATGTGTACACAATATTACCACTTAGTTCTTCAGTTAAATTTAATTGTTCCTTCTCAACACACAGAGAGCTGCCTTCAAGTGAGAAATTAATAACATGGAACCAAGAGAATCAAAGAAAATACTGAGTTCAGATTTTTAGCTTGGATGGAATGGAATGCACAGGATGATTTGATAAAGATGAACCAAAGGACAAGGAACAATGCTTTGAGTTAGTTACAGTCCCCAGTGGTAGAGAGAGAACCAGACCCTCATCTCTTCTTTAAGAATTTTGTTCTCACAATCAAAGCCCCCTCAGCTACTCTTGGAGATGTGGATTCTTATTTCTTAGGAATCTTCTGTATGTAAAGAAATACGTTGTTTTTGCTGTATTTCTCTTTGTAGGATCTTTAGTTCTTATCCCCAAGCTCAAGTTGCAATGAGGTGAAGTTGTGGAGAACCGATTTTAATGACTTGAGTGAACTGAATTAAATGATTAAGCCAGGAACAGTCTCTTTCTACCATATCCAAAAAAATCCTGAGGAATAACTGCATGTTGAGCAATTAGTCCCAGATATTTTGAGAAACTTGGAGTAATCGCCACTGGCTCCGTGAATTCCTGGAACCAGGAAAGCTTGCAAATGTTTCCTCACTAAGAAGGCAGAAAAATGCAGGCCAGAGCCACCTGCTCCAAAGCTGTAAGGCAGTGAGCGTACTGTTACTCTAGTCACTGAAAACAGACTGAGGCAGCATGCAGAAATGGGGAACACTTACTTATCCAGCCATCTGTCTGTCCCATAGGATTCCAGAAACTAGATAAGATTTAATGAAAATAGGAAGGTTCAGAAACAAAAAATGGGGTATGGGGCCCTTACAAGCAATAAAAGAACTTTGTCGTGCGTCTGCCTTGCTGGTCCAAGAGGTGACATGGTTACTTCATTCTTGGGACAGAGTCACGGGAATTATTATGGATCCTCTCCTAGTCACGGATAATGGTGATAACTGACAGAGCACCTGTTCACTTCAAGGTCTTGCACTGTTTGGGCCACTGCTATGACTTGAATGTTTGTGTTCCCACAAATTTCTATGTTGGGATCCTCAACATGAGGTGATGGTATTTTAAAGGGGAACCTAGGGAGGGGATTAGGTCATGAGGGTGGAGCCCTGGTGAATGGCATTAGTGCTCTTGTAAGAGAGACCCAGGAGAACTCCTTATCCCAGTGTGAGGACACAGCAAGGAGGCCTAGGAGGAAGCCGGAACCCACCAGATACTGTGTCTGCAGGTGCCCTGACCTTGGACTTCTCAGCATCTAGAACTATGAGCAATATATTTCTGTTGCTGATAAGTCACCAAGCAGCCTGAAAAGACTAAGACAGCTGTATTAAGATGACTTCACAAGGCCCTTGGCCTCAAGGAGCCCAGAATCCAGGGCTGGGACAAAGAAACTGCTATCTTTAAAATTCCACAGTGAATCAAAGGCCAAAATAACAGCCTGGTGGACTTAGCTTCAGGGTCCCTAATGCAGCCTCACTTTGGGCTAAGTGACGTAGGCACATTCAGGTGTATTGCTGGCCTCAGCTGACAAGTTTAATGAGCTGACTTTGCCAATGAATGAGTGACTTGTGACAGGATCCAAGGATTTAAAATGTCTAGATTCTGTTTTGCTTACTTGGTTTTACAACACTCCATTTTATTAAAGAAGGGGTAATCATCACTTCTGCTTACTTACTGTATGAGACTGATGAGCGTTTTGGTCAATTAGCACAAGTAACAAAATGACACAAGTAGGGGTGTTCGTAGAAGCAACTAAGACAGCCTCCTTCCTTGCTTGCTCCTCCAGTGCTTGTGGTTCAAAGTGTCTCTATAGTTTTTACTACTCTGAGAGCTCAGACGTACGTAAGCTAATCATGCAAGCTCTTCCATAGAAAGACCCCACCACCACCTTCAGTTATCCTAGTGAGCATCAGATGTCTAGGATTAAGAATGATAACTCTCGGGTCGGGGATTTACCTCAGTGGTTTCGCCACCTGCTGTGCAAGCGCAAGGACCCGAGTTCGATCCCTGGTACCAAAAAAAAAAAAAAAAAGATAACTCTCAGTGTTCTTCCTGATGGGGGAAAGGGATGCAGCACAATTAGGTAAGGTTCTCATAGTTGAGTCCTTGTAATTGATTCTTGGTTTTTTTTTTTGGTACATGGGATTGAACTCGGGTCCTTGTGCTTGTGCAGCAGGTGGCGAAACCACTGAGCTAAATCCCCGGCCCAATTCTTGGTTTTATAAGGAGAAACCAGAGGTACTCACATGCACCCTCCCTTCTGTCTACCACCATGGATGCCCTGCACTGCCTGGGACTGCCAGCAAGGTCATCACCAGATATAGCCTCTGAGCCTTGAATCTCCAGAACCACGAGACAAGATAAAACTCTTTTCTTTATAAGATAACCAAGACTCAGGTATTTTGTTAGAGTAACGGAAAATAGACTAATACAGAGGGAAACTGGGCATCACTAGTCTATGAATCCCATTTGAAAAAAAGAAAGACTATGGGAGCTAAATACTTTGTCTAAAGTCATAAAGTCAGAATAAGAACCTAGATTGCACTGTCTCCGAGGCCCCCACTCTTCCTACCGGACAACAGCCACTGACAGGTGCACAGGCCATAAGTAGAATTGAGAGAAGGAAATTAACCAACTGTTGATAGTTCCATGCTTTATATAGACACTCAGACCATAGTGGCCACCAAATCTGGTGCCTAAATTTGGGAGAGGGGATTAGCATCTGAAGCTGAAAACCTATAATTTTCATTTACTAAAATACATGCTTCTGAATGTGTGTCTCATCTAACAAATAATGTAATTAAATCAGTTTGAAAATCTGTTACACCCAATGTATTTCTGCCCACCCCTTTATTTCCTTTATTACATAGACTCACAAATACAACTGATTGTTATAAATAGAACTTTCAATGAGTAATTTATTCCTTATGCTTCATGCCTGAGTCTGGAGGTAGCTGAGCTGATCAAGGCCCCAGGACATGGTGAGGTTCATTTGGAGGCCAGTGAAGTTTGAGGGTACTTTGGTTCAGCACCCTTAAGCCAGTAAT